ATGTTCGAGGAACCCTTGTCTGGGGATGGATCTCAATCAGGACATTCCTCTCTGTGTGTATGTACACCTGAAAGGTGGAAAAGAACATTAAAATTCCAATTTCACAAAAATTAGCTGCAATCAGAGCTGGATTAAGAAGTTGTGAGGCCAGGCTTCTTAGGGCTCCCCCCCCCCCCATCCACTTTATGCAAATACCTAACGTTTTTAATTTCCTTTGAGGGGGCTGTTGCCTCTGGGCCAATAGGCAACAGCCCCCTTTGCCCCCCCTGCCTTAATCTGACCCCGGCTGCAATGCATATATTTTTACTTAGTCTTTAAAAATGCCATCAGACAAGTCATGAATAAATAAGTAACATGAGCCACTTCCTGAGACTCATTTATTATGATTCAAAGCAGAAAAGAGAGACCTGCAGGAGTCCAGCCCTATTGAGGGGAGAGTCAAGAAGCATGAGTAGACACTGGTGTGTGATGTCTGGCCGGGCTGAGCCAGGGTCGCGACCCAGTTTCCTCATCTGTCCAGAATGGTCATCACAATTCAACAGTTCGAAGCTATTGCCAACCTGAAATACAGTCAAGTTTGTGATCATCAGGCCATGAGCCAATTGTTAGTAAAATAAACCTTTGTTAAGTGTTACATAAGCCTGCTATTTGGAACCTATAACTAACATATATTTGACATATCTAGAGCTCTCCCAGAATAAATAGAAGCATGCATTGTCTAGAACCAATTGGTTATTTTACAGTTTAATCTCTTGCTGAAGGCAATGGAACCCCAATGAACCAATGCAACATGCCTTAATCCTGTTTTTTTAATTGGATGTGCCTGTGTGGAAAAGAATAAACCTTGATGACATCAAGATGCGCATTTTCCAGGACAACTATGAGACGTTTCTGTTGGTTTGTCTGATGTGGATTTGTGAGGTGTCTGGGAGGTAGGTCCTTCTCTCCATCATCTTCGTGCCTTCGTTTTCTGGGCATGCCTGATCAGTTTTCTCCTTCTCTACCTCCCTTTCTATTCTGTTCTAGCTGGCTGGGTGCACTGAATTCAAGTCTTGGAGAGTTCAGTCCTGCCTGTCACTTGAAAAGGGAAACATTCAATCTGCTGGAGGAAAATTAATAAAGAATCTGGTTAAACAGGTAACTAAAGACTTAGATCAGATGCACTTGGTCACCATGGGTCCCCAAGCCTATACCTAGAATTGAATTTATTGGTTTACCTCCTGATAATATAATGAATTACTTCCACAAGTACTGTCAGCTGACCCTGTCCAGTGAACTTTATTGCCTTGGATGACTACTTTTTCTTACAATTTTTTGGCCTTTTGTACTCAGAGAAGCTTCCTAAACTTCAGGCCTTAGCTTTTTCTAAGCAGCTGCCACTTGCAGACTTTTGCAGCAGTTTTCATGAACTAATGAACTCTGCACTGTTTCCTAAATGAATCCATACTCCTCATTGGAGCAACTGAATTGATTCCAGGCAGTGGCACCTTGCAAATAGGTAGCTGCAATTTGATATAGCAGATCCCCTGGGGATGGTGCTTTATTCCCTCTCCACCTCCAAGGCTGCCACAAGTTAAATTTACGATGCTAAGCTTCAATGACTTGTTCAATTTTGAGAAGTAGGAGTTCGTAATTCTACATTCCCCAGTCCACAGGTAACTTTGATAGGATTCAGAGCAGTTCCAGAAAAGTTGTTTGGAGCAATCATTCGATCCCTTCTGACTCTCTATTGAAGGCTTGTGCCACCTGGACCCTTCTCTGTCGAGAACAGTCCGAAACCAGGCTAAAGCTAAATTACAGAAGACTCTGATTTCCATTTGACCACCCTATCAAGTAGGTCAAAATTAAAGTGATGACTCGGATATAGGAGTCTCCACCTGTGATACGCACAGGTTTAACACTTGCATTGACAAGAAAATTCTGTATTCTGGGAATTTCTTAGACCTATCTGCTTGGATAAACGGCCGATATGGAGCATGCAAAAGTCGACACTGGCATGGCTTTGGACCTCACGCCGGTTCCTCCGACGGGCCGCGCCATCACTGCGACACCCTGCCCTCTGTATTTCCCAATTAAAATTGAAGCTTGAAGCGGCTCACGCAAGGTGTCTCTTGGAGTCCGGATCCTCGCACTTAGCTCAGTGGATCCTCGCCCTTCCCCCCAGTCGGCCGCCATCCACTCAGAGGGTGAAGACATTCCTGTTTGTGTCATGCGCGTGGAGATGCACAAATGCTTCTGCCCCGTATTTTCGTGCTATTTATTCAAGGCTGTAGGCACTGATATCTGTCCCATTCTTAGGCGATTGAAGAACGGGCAATCCTATGCACTCAGACTCAAGACTAGGCTCTGTTATGCGAGCGAAGGTCCCTCTCTCGATGTTTTATTCTTTTAAAATTAATTCCTTGTGCTCAATGAATGCATAAGCATGCTAAATTGTATTATTTTTCGCGCAAAATTTGAGCATAATCTCGATATGAATATAAATTTGCACGAAACTTGTGTTATAGTGCATCCCTTCGAATCGCGGGGTTGTCGGAACTATGCGGCACCGGCCTAACGAGGGGGTAATGAGGGTGAGAAGTGAGAAGCGTCAATGGAATCGGCCACCCCCGAACCCAAGGGCGATGCTGCCTCCTTTTTTTGCAGGGGGGAAGGAGGTAAGATGCCGCCTATGACTGTATGAGGAAATGTATTTTTAGACTTTTGGGAAAGCTCCGCCGCTGGTTTCCTTCTTCACTGCCCCTCTCCTCTCATTAATGATAGAGTTTTCCCTTTGGACCCAGTGTCGCCTGACGCGCTAATGTTTTCCTTCGCTCATCTCTCTGGATCCGCGATTCGAGCGGAAACGGATGCACTATAATATCGCGCTGTGTCCATAAATCATTACTTCAGGTTGGCTTCGATGAATTAAGTGCATTGCATGAAACTGCAAATAATTGTGCTACATCTAATGGAAAGCGAAACGTTCATCTCAATGTACCTGGAAATGCCAAGCAGTTTACAGTGGAATATATATATATTTTTTTACGATGTCAAGAAGACCAATGATAGACAAGCAAGCAGGTGCTATGAAAAACAGATGAAAGCGGTTTGCATCTATTCGTCGATGAAACAAGTTTGACGCGTTAGCTCCCAAGACGACGCGACAGTTTGACGGTCAGCCACGGCGATTTAGCCGATCTCAACCAAGAGCATGGAGTCGACCGAATTAATGCACGTCGGTTACCGGATGAAGAGCGTCATTCCGATATCGGCATCGTTGGTCTTGACGATGCGGAAGAATCAACTTTGGAGATGTATGTAGAGATGTATGAGCCGCGAGAGGTACGAAAATGCAAGGACGATATTTACGCCTCCGATAAAAGCATCACCACGATAAGCCCACGCGTAACTCGGTCCGTGAGGGAAACCAGACTGGAGGGGGGCCAAGAAGCCGACAGACGATGGCGGATCGCCCTCCCCTGGCTGGAGCGGATTGGCAAGGGGATGGGATGCGAGACACCGCCTCCCTCCCCGGATCTGTCCGCTCATAGGCAGTCCTCCCTCCTCCCTCCTCCCTCGCTCTCCGCGCTTCCCATCCCACGCGCATTCCCGATTGGCCAGCGGGACTCGGTCGCTTCCGGTGATGGGAATCCCTTTCAGGATCGCCTCCACGTTTTGTTGCTTTAGAAAGAACTCCTGCTCGCAACGCTATCGATCGTGAATTTTGTATCGAACCAGAGAAATATTTACATACTGAATTTAAATCCTTATCCGCTGGGCTTCTGCATCATCTGTGCTGCTGCGCAGTCGCACAAGGACCAAGAAAGGCGGTTTTTGGAAGAATGCAATGTGAATTGTCGGACTGTGTTAGTTGCCACGTTGAGGAGGGTTGGCGGGTGGGACTGATGACGATTTCAAATAGCTGTTTTTCTTGATCCTGAGATTACGGCTTTGTGGAATATTTGGGAAAATTCCGGACGGATGACTCGATGGATCCCGATCGATGCCTGCATGACCATCAGTGGCAACAACTGCTACGATCAATGCCAGTAATAAATAATAGAACGTGCATGATCGTTTCATATGGATTGCCAGGCGACAAACGATTGGGGATTGGAGTCCAGCACGTCCATCGACTTCCAGTACGTGGAGAAATTGGCAATACTGTGTGACAGGGAGTTCGCTTGGATGCACTCCCCTAATATACCATTCTAATGTAATTCTCAGGCCTCACATCGGTCGTGTCACTGGAGTTATATCGCATTGTGACTATCATCTACCTCGGTGATGCTCCAATTTTTGAACTCGTGGTATGCATGAACGACGACAGTTCGGGCCATTCGTCTAACCAGGGATGCACATCGTGCGGACCGCGGCTCGCCATGACCGGTGGCGTTTAAGTGCCACTATTGCTCCTGTCTTGTTGGCAACAACTATGGTCGATCAGACAGCGGCCTGCGGTAGGTGAGAAAAAGTCGCAAATGGCCCTCACAGCCTTTTGAGTGGTGCACCCCTGATGTGCTTCTATTTTCATGAGATTATGTTGAGAAATAAATAACTTATGAACTAATACTTTAAGAGTTCTTGGATGACCAAGAACTGAAACGACGTAAGAACTGAAAGTTCTGAAGAAAATAAAAAATTGCAGATGGAGGCCGCGACATGCAAGTAGTCCAACCAATACTGGACAAGAACCGACCGACTGAATGATATCCGCCATGGATATGCAGCGCATGCGTCTTCCTCTGCTCACAGTGGACCCTGGCGAACGCGGCAATATGGATTTTCCGGTAAGGGGTCAACCGCGTCCGAAGAGACCTGAATGTGAGGCTTCTGCAGGGCCCTACGGCAGGTTTGGCTCGACTGAGCTCTTCGACAATTTTTCATTCTTTAAGAACGGCATTCCGAAAGATACCTGGACTGTGGGGTACGACGCGCGGCTTTGACGAGAATACCGTCCTGTATTTTATTCTACAAAAATAACTTCACGATCGGCCAACATAATCCATACACAATTCCTTTCAACTAATCTTTCCCCTGCCTTGAAAAAGTTTCGACAAAGAAAAGTGAATAGCCCCTCCACGAGCATTCTGATGGTCGAAAGCCAGAATCTAAGATGGTGTTGCAATTCATTACAATTGTAATCATTTGGTCGATCCGTGAATCGAATTTGGAAGCGAGAAAAATTATTTAAATGTAATTTTTAAAAAAATCATCCTCGATGGACCAGGAGAATACGGGGTGGGCCAAAAAAAACTCGAACAGTTTTCTACGATACCCTACACTTCACTCGCTGCATACAATTTAATTCGGTTTGTGGCATTTGAAAGAGAATATATAAGCTCTAAAATGGTTTACTTATACATGTATATATAACAATACATACGAGGGCCGCTCAATTACTTATCTACCTGAATATGAAAGGGATGAGCATTTAATGAGCGTTTAATGGCATTCCCGTTCGTGCATTCTGGCCTGCTGTCACCAGGATTTAAGGGCGGGCAAACGCTCGGTGTTTCAGCTCTTTTTTTCTTCCGGCTTTTCCGTCCTTTTTCCATCGTTCTTGGATTCCATTGAAAATCCTTGCAGTGTTATCATTTTTTCAAAGTCGATTATTAGTGACAAGGAGTTCCCTCACGACTTCTACTCGGGACGAAGGAGGGATGCTTCCGATGGGCCAACTGGCAACGAATCTACATCTTGCCTAGTAGGCAAGATGTAGTACTTGTTCGTACTTGTAGACAAGTACGAACAAAGAGCGAATATCCCATGCGCCGCCTGTCACGAGCCCTCTCCCGAATGGCCTATCGCTAATGATATAAGTAGCTGACGGGAGATGGCTGGAAGGCCTGGAAGCGATTTTAATGAACTCCCATGCATTACTTGTCGAACAAACCTTTGAGGCAAAAAAAAGATGAGAGGCAGGCTTATTTCTGAAGCATTGAAATGCAGATATTTTGTGCATGCTCACTCGGCGGAAAGTTTTAGGTAACTTGTACAACCTAGCCTGATTCGTGGGGGGGGGGGGGGGGGGGAAAGGGGGGGTANNNNGGAGGTCGGGGGGGGGGGGGGGGGGGGGGGGGGGGGGGTAAATGGCGAGTTAAACAGCACAAATAAGGAGTACTATTTCGTGAAAGGCCCAAAA